GGGGAGTAATTAGAAAACAGTACGTGGAGCCCCTGGGTGGCACAAACAGTTAACACGCTAGCTTGCTAACCGATAGTTTGGCAGTTCGAGTCCACCCAGAGGCACCTCGGAAGAAAATCCTGGTGATCTGCTTCCAAAAAATCAGCCACTGAAAACCCTATGGAGCACAGTTCTACTTTGACACACAAGGAGTCGCCATGAGTTAGGATCAACTCAGGGACAACTGGTACTGGTTTCTGGTGACCCCTGACTGAGGCAGGCAAGATCAAGTGCTCCGGGCAGGTTAGGAGTGATCCCTCCTGCAGGGGGCAGCAGAGGCCCATTTCTAGGGAAGGCACCATTTTGGGAAGGCTAGGAAGGAGGCCATTAACACTGGGGATCACCGTTCCAGGTGGCAGGAGGTGGCCTGCAGATGTAGCTCTGGAAGTGTGTAGATAGCTCTCCTGGGTCCGAGGGCATTGTGGGTGAGTGGGTGCTTGGAGAGGTAAGTCAGGTTAGCAAGGACTTTGAAGCCATTAAACCAAAAACCAAACCCATTGCCATCACATCCGACTCTGACTTATCGCGATTCTGTTACAGAGTAGAGCGGCTGCACAGGATTTTCTTTTTTTCTTTTTATTATACTTTAGATGAAGGTTTACAGAACAGTTTCTCATTAAACAGTCAGTATACATACTGTTTTATGACATTGGTTAACAACGCCACGATATGTCAACATGCTCCCTTCTCGACCTCGGAGGACCTTTTTTTTTTTTTGGTGAAACTATACATAGCCAAAGATAGACCATGCATAGGATTTTCTTGACTGTGATCTTTTACAGAAGCAGATCGCTGCAGCGCCACTGAGGGGGTTGGAACCGCCAACCTTTCAGTTAGTAACCGAGCGCAAACCACAAACCACTGCGCCACCCAGGGACCTCCTTGAAACCCTTAAAGGCATATTAGAGTGGAGATTGCATCCCAGCAGCCCACAGGATGAATTTGACCTTCAGAAAGGGATTTGTTTAGCACTTAAGAAAAATTATATTAGCCTCCCACTTATTTAAATCAAGAGATTTCACCCCCCAAGTCCCAATTTATAGGTCATTTTTAAAAAGTTCTATCAGTCAACCCTGGACGCCTGTTCTCTCATGCCCGACAGCAGTCAGGTGGAGCCAAGTAGCGGGGCCTGGACTCGAGATCAGCTTGTGCACGCAGTCACTGCTAGGTTTTACAATTTGGGCTTTTTGCTGGTGGTTAGGGATTTGACTTAATACACCTGCATTTTCTTGTTTTGTTCCCCTGTGGCTAACTGCTCATGTGCAAGACCAGTCCCTGGCTAGAGAAGAGTAACAGACCAGAGTGTCCGTGGGATGTGGAGCTCATGGCCTTGGTCTTGCTAGCTCCATGTACCACCTACCTCCTTGAACACACCAGAACATCTTTACTGAATGATTTAACTACTGTGCATACTATATGTATGCTCGAAGTTCGTTTCCTGTTCAGCTTTGGACTGGGGAAACCTACCCAAGCATTGCCTTATGGGGGCACAGTTGTCCTGGAAAAGTAGTTGTCAGGGGTAGGTATTTGGCCGCCTGGGTCATTGTCTCAGATCTCCAGTTCAGCTTTTGCGTGGATACAGCTTTAGTGGTCACCAGAATAATTTATAAGTGCAGAAACTTTCAGAAGAATGCATTTGGGAGGGCGGGGAAATACAAGAGTCGGTAATGTAGAAGGAAAAGGAAGTGCTTTTTATTTTTATTTTTTCTAAGTATCTAAAGAAAGCATGGTCTCTGGTAAAACATGGAAAAAGATGGAAGAAAAAATAAAATCATAATCTGTCCGCCCAGATATGACCACTGTTAGTATTTGATTGTAAATTTCCA